AATGTCCCCCACCCAGTTCATATGTTAATTTCTTCACCCCCAGAGTGATGAAATGAGTAGGTAGGGCCTTTGGGAAGTGATGAGGTCTTGAGGGTGGAGATGTTAGAGAGCTTTGTAAAAGAGGCTCAGGAAAGACCCCCTCACTCCTTCCACAACATGAGGCACAGGGAGAAGCTGTCTGCAAACCAGGACGTGGCCCTCAGCAGCTACTAATTGAGCTGGTGTTTTGGTATTGGACTTCCAGCACCCAGAACCGAGAGACATGGCAATTCCTATTCTTGACGAGCCTCTCTGTGAGACTGAGCGACCGTCAGGCACTAAGACAGAAAACTGACTTTAAAAGTAGAGTGCTGCTTAACAAATACCTACACCTGTGCCGGCTGCTTTGGAACTGAGGACAGGCAGGGTTCCAGGTACCCCACTTAGAAAAGACTGACTGCCACGGACAAACTGCCAGGGGCAGCCATTGTGAGGACCTGGGGAGAGGGGGAGACCTGCAGGGAAAGCCTCTATCTTCTCAGAGAACATCAAAGCGCAGTGACAGAAGTATGCAAGCAACACCATTCTGAAGGGGGGGCGGGGCACGGACACGACCAGGCGGGAACAGAAGGGCCCACTGGGTATGAGGTGGTAGACAACATGGCTGGATCATGTGCCTGCCCTGGAGGCAGAGCTCGTGAGCAGTGATTTGGTATTGGTATTTGGCTGAGAAAAGTGTCTGTTGTGGTCTGAACATGAAACGCCTCCCTTGGGCCCATGTCTCTGAACAATTCATCCCTGGATGATGATGCTGCTTTTGAAGGTTGTGGAACCTTCCAGAGGTAGAACCTCACTGGAGGAAGTGGGTTACGCAGGGAAGGCCTTAAGATTTTCGAGACTGTGCTCACTCCTGTCTGCTCTCTGCTTCCCGATTGCAGACACAGCTGACCAGCTGCGTCAAGCCATCACACCTTCCTCACATGACCCCTGCACATCGAAGTAAACCCTTCCTCCCTCAAGTAGCTTCTTGTCAGGAACCTCATCACCATGACAAGAAAAGTAATGAATAAAGCATCTCAGCAAAATGCAGCTGGGGGTGGAGAGATGGCACAGCAATTAAGAGCACTGGCTGCTCCTGTGGAAGACCCGGGTTCAATTCCCAGCACCCACATGGCAGCTAACAACTATCCTTAGCTCCAGTTCCAGGAGAATTCAGGACCCTCTTCTGACCTCCACTAGCACTGCATGACACAGGCACATTTACATACATGCAGGCAATATACTTATACACAGAAAATAAAAATAATAATTTTTTTTACAAGTGCAGTTGAGCATCTGTTGATCTCTTATGGTAGAATCAGAGAAGGGAAAAAGGATTTAAAGACAGCACTCCTCCTTACCGGTAGGGGGTGCTCCGGCTGGCTGGATGCTCCACCACCGCCCTGTCGCCTTGGCTGGCCAGGGGTCCCGCCATCCCTGAGGCATGGTGCAGAACTTACCACACTGCAACATCTCAAAGTATCAATATTTATTGAATAAATATTTTATGAATGAATAAAAAATGCAAGTGAGGAGCACTCAGAAATGAGAAGCTAAGCAAAAGGTTTCATAAAGATGACACCCGGAGCACAAAAACAAATTGCAATTATTTGTGGCTCAGTCGTTAATATCTCGGAGCCCTGTGCTGTCAAGAATGATGTGAGCCTTCGCCACGGGATGTGCTGAGCGATTTATAATTTCTTAAAACTGTTTTATATTGGTGCCATAGGAGGACCAAATTTATCTTCTCTCAGATCATGGGCTATATCAAAACACATAAACCAAGAGACAGGACAGATGGAGGATGGCTCCCTGCACAATTAAGGGGGATGACGCCGGGCAGCATCCAGGCCTCTAGAGTGCCGGCCACCTCCCTGGGAGCTAAGAAACAGCCTTTCCTCAGCCTCTGCTCACACAGCAGGAGGAGCACAGGGGCCCTGCACATAACTGCACCCAGGGGGCAGGTCCCATCCCAGGGACAAGGACAAGGTGATTCTGGGAGTGTTGCTGGCTCCTCTCACAGGAAGGTCATAAACGTCCCCAAGCCTTGGTGGTTTCCAGTTTCCAAATCATCACCCAAACTGCCCTGCAAGGGGGCCTGAGGGCCTAACATACATGTATATATGTCATTAGCAATCACAGTAAGTATGAACACACTGAAAGCTGCCACACAGTGAGCACATTGGCAGAGAAATGAAGATGGTGGTGTATTTACACAATGAAACATCAACAGCGTTCAAAATGAAAGAGGATTTAGATTTAGCTCCAAAGTATAACGCTTATTTTAACTTTCAAAGGGACATATATGATCCAAAAATGTGTTCCAAACCATGTTTGGCTGTTGCGCGCGCGCGCGCGCACACACACACACACACACACACACACACACACACACACACACAGAAACAGTGGAGGCCTGAATGAACAACAATATCACCTCAACACAAGAGTGAGCCTGAGGAGAAGGGAAGGGAAGAAGGCATGCCATGGGGAGGGACAGAGCTCCTCAGTTCATCTCTCTGTGGTTTATTTATCCCAACATTTTCTTATGAAAAACTTTCAAATACAAAGTGGAAAGGATGTTACAGTGAACAGTGTGCTCACTGGAAGACAATCCCGTGAACACTGCTGTGAGTTTGCTCCATCACTACCCACCCCTCTGCCCCTCTGCCCTTCCCAGCCCACCCATTAATCCCTGGGATTTGCAATGCATGTCAGAGACCGTTGCAGTGGTCACACACCACTCCCGGACCCCTCTGCGTGTGTATTCCTAACCACCACCCAACACTGTTCGCCATGTTTTCATTGATGTACAGTTGACATACGTCAATGAAGTGTTCCAGTCTCAGGTGAGTCTATACCAAATTTGAAAAGACATACACATTTGTGTAACTCAAACCGCTACAGACTTGCCATGACTGCGGCTCACCTAGAAAACACGGTCAAGCCCTGCCCTGACCTCTCCAGAGGAAACTGGTCTTCAGAGTCCTCCCACTAGAGAGACTGGTTTAAACAGAACCACAGCACAGGCTCTGTGGGGAGGGCAGCTTTCATGCTCAGGAGGCTCTGGAACACTTTACTCTTTCTGTTGCGGGGTACCTTCTCCCTCTGTGGGAAAATACTACTGAACGCCTTTGCATTCTTCCCTACAGGGCGCAAGGACTATGTGGTGTTTTTTGACTTTGTTTTCCAGGAAGAAGAGAGGTGCTTAAGGACATTCTTTGTAGTTCTTTTGGTGACCATGTTTTAATTGTCTTAATTTATTTTATATGTATGAGTGTTATGCCTGCATGTGTATAAATGTACCTGTGTCATGCACTGCCTGTGGAGGACAGAAAAGGGAGTTGGAGTCCCTAGAACTGGAGTTACAGACAGTTCTTAGATGCCGTGTGTGTTCTGGGTCCTCCACAAGAGCAGTCACTGCTCTTAACCAATGAGCCATCTCTCCAGCCCCGACCATGTCTTAATCTCACATTTCACTATTATTTTTCATGTGTGTCTGTGTGTGTGTGTGCCCATGTTTGTGTATATGTACGCACTGGTCTGTGCACGCATGTGTGGAGGACAGAGATCAACTTCGGGCCTCTCCTCCGTCACTCTCCATGTTTGACTTGGAGGCCGGTTCTCTCACTCAACTTAGACCTTGGCTGTTTCAGGCTAGATGGCTGGGAAGTGAGCACCAGGGATCTTCCAGCCTCTCTACAGCCCCACCCCAAACCGGCTCTGGGATTACAGGCACACACCACCACACCTGGCTTTTACGTGGGTGTTGGAGATCCAAATCATGTCCCTGTACGATGAGCCCTTTACCCGCTGAGCCATCTTCCCAGCCCCTTAATTATTTATTTATTTATTGCATATGTGTATGTGGTACGTGTGTATGAGTATGTTTGCGTGGGAGTGGTCCACATGTGTATGGGCATATACATTCATGTGTGCTCATGCATGTTACAGCCCAATTGACATCGGATGCCCTCATCAGTCACTCTCCACTGCTCTTCCTGAGGCAGGAAGGGGTGGGAGGGGTATCCCACCTCAACCTCCTTCAGACACCCACTTGGCCTTTCCTGGGTTCTGAGGATCTGTCAACTCCAGCCTCATGCTTGTATGGCAAGCACTCTACCTGCTGAGCCCTCTCTCCTGACTGCCTCTCCTCCCTGAAGAACTAAGGTTGGAATAGCAGGGCCGGGGTAAGTGCACATATGGCTTTATAAGAAGTGCCGGACTTTGCCCCCAGTGGCTGCAGTGTTTTCTATCCTGCCAGGATAAGAGTTCCAGGTACCTCACATCCTCCCTGGAGCTCAACACGTTTTTCATCTCCCCATCCTGACGAATGTACATGAAGGCACAGCAGCCTCTTCCTGCGGTTTTAGATTTGCATTTTCCCACTGACAATAATGTCATGTCAGCTATTTAGAAAAATAGTTTATTCTTTGAAATAAGACAGAAGCAGAGATAGAGAAACATCTGGAGAAAACATAGAAATAAGTGTTCTAAACTCTATGACACAGGCAAGCTAGTGTGTTGTTATCACAGGGCCTTGTGACTTTGCTATTAAAAATAAGAAACAAGGGACTGGAGAGATGGTTCTGTGGTTAACAGCACTGGCTGCTCCTGCAGAGGACCTGTGTTCAATTTCCAGCACCTCTACATGGCAGTTAACAACTGTCCTAACTCCAATTTCAAAAGCTCCGATGCCCTCTTCCTACGTCTGAGGGCATTGCACAAGACAGGTACACTTACATAGATACAGGCAATATACTCATACACGTAAAATAAAAATAACAATTTTTTTAAAAAAAAGAAATATCATTCCATCTCTAATTTGTCTACAATTTGAGCTTGAGGCACAGCCTCTTAGTGTGGAGAAAGGCCCAGTAGGATTGCGGGAGGGATTCTGCACCTTCCCATCACTACCAAGCTCTGCCCTCCCTAGACCACACTCTCAGTCCTAGCCTGGCTCCCCTCTGTGGGACACTCACCTCTGGCACTCTCCGGCATGCAAGACAAGCTCCGCATTGCTCCTGGCACAGACTGTCAGCTCGTGCTCTGTGGAGTTGAAGACGTCGAGAAGCAGGTGGCACTGCCGGGTGCTGTGTGGAAAGACAGAGACTTTCAGAACCCTCCTCCAGCGAAGAGGAGCAACTTTGCCCTTTCCTCCTTTCCAGGAATTTTCCACTGTTTGAAGATGTGCAGATGTGTGATTTATCAAAATGCCAAAGCCTCTGGACACACGCTTGGAACTTGGCCATGCCCTTTATGAACCAAACAACCTTGGAAGGTAGCTCAGTTCTCCAAGCCTTAGCAAGTGAAGGAGTAGAGGTAAGAACATCTAAATACATGGTATACAGTGTCACTCAATAAAGACCATCTAAACATATGGTATCCAGTGTCAGTCAATAAAAGCTATGTCCAAATGAGGATGTCTTCAGCTACCCAGCAGTGAGCACAGGGCTGGGCACTGGAGTGTAAAGATCTGGGCCATGGGTTGGAGAGATGGTGCAACTGATAAAGGTTCAGGCTCACAACCAAAACCACAAGACCTGGGCCGTAAGTGTATGGACTGCTCTGTAAGTGTCTTACCCAGGGTGTCTCCATCCTCCTCGTCTTTGGAGCTGGGGCAGACTGCATAGGCTAACTCACCACCCAGGTGAAGCCTCCCCCACCCCTCTTTGCTTGCCACGATTAGGGAAGCAAAGTTCAGAATTGAAGTTCTCAACTTCCAAGTACTCCCCACAGCAAGGGATGCCCCCAGTGACAGAGTCCCAGCCCACGAGCTCTGGGGTTTCAGAGCCTTCCTACCCCAGATGCCAGAGCCCTGAGGGGAGGATTCTGCCCTTCAGCCTCCCTGGTTTCATGCCTTTGTCCTTGGGAAGGAACTGGATGCCTTGAAGGTTAGTGACCAATGGTTCAGAGACAAGAACAAAACCATGGGCTGCAGTTGGCAGAGCTGGGGCCAGAAGGAACCGGAAAACCAGGCAGGGCAGTGGTAGCCCACTGCCTCCTCCCTCTAGACTTATTAGCTCCATGGCTGAAATGGTTTTTAAAAGGCAACAGGCCATGCTTCGTTTGTGTTAGGCACTGCTTATCAGGTTTCCATTACAGTTGAATGCTTGCCCAAAACTAACACAGTCTTCCAAATTTCAAGTGTCACGGTGAGCACATGATGGGGAACCAATGAGTGCCGGGATAGCCATCGCAGGAGCAGAGCAGGAGCAGCACCGGGGCGGCAGAGCCATCCTTGGAAAAGGAGATGAATGGCTTGTCTGGGGGTGGGGGGCAGAGAACTACACTCCGGGTCATCACCAGTGCCATGTGGCATCAAAGCAAGCCCTTCCAGAGGGCACCTGACTTCTCCAGTGTGTCCCCAGGTGGGAAGCAGGGCTTTGCCAAAGGAATGGGGATGGGAGGTAACCCTGTCCCCTGCACTTGCCCAGAGATAGGGCATGTGGAGAGGAGGCTCAGGAGAGGACCATCCTGCTGGGGTGGTGACCACAAATCCAGACCTGGAGCTCAAGCTGCCTTGTCCTCACAGCAGGTGCATACTTGGGTTCCATTTGTCACCTGTCCTCTGCTCCTTTGAGAGAAGGGAATTCAGACACAGAGGGAAGCAGGAGCATGTCCAAGGTGCGTGTGCGCGCGCGCACACACACACACACACACACACACACGGATATAGACACTGCCCAGAGGCCAGGGGGCATCTAAAAGAACAATCTTTCCACATGTGGCATGTCTCAAGAGAAGGAGGTGAAGCACAGTGTCACCACTCTGGTGGTGCCATGGGTCTTTGGACGACAGCTTCATGTTGGTTGATTCTGGGACTCGGGGATAGGGGTGTCTTACAAAGAGGTCTGGCACTTGGCTCATACTCATTAGTTCTGACAGCTGCCTACAAGCAGTCTCTTCCCTCAGCTCCCAGGAAAAGGGCTTTCCAGGAACGAAGAGCTGCCTTTGTCTAACTTCATGAAATCTTTAATGACAACAAAAATCTTTGATCAGAAATGGGAACTCCTAAACCTTTTATGGGAGTGGGGATTGAAGCCACTTTTTAAAGCCTGGAATAGGACACTCAAATACATGTTCTTTCGACTGGCAGAGCACGGTGTCTGAGAAGCCGTGCAGGAAAGCAGCGTGGATACAGTGTCTCTCTGCCCTGGTTGTTGTGAGTCACTGTCTGTGTGGGGGCGTCTGAGCTGGTGTTTCGATTGTTCCTAACGTCGCCATGATGATATATCGGTGGATCTTTGTTTTCTATCTGTTACTCATACGTTAATTCCCTGCCCAGACTGGTGGCGTTCTGTGCCCACCGTAACACCATTTACTCCATATCGTTCCACATCACTATGGACGATTTCCTTTGTGCTCTGCTGGAACACAGAGTTTACTTTTCATTCTGTTCACCTCTTGGCTTTTGTTTGTGTTTTCTGGTTCTATCTTTCTGAAGAGTAAGGAAGCTTAAGAACTCTTTCCAGAAGAACTGAGGTCACATAAATTCTTTGAGGGAAGGTTACCTTCCCTGTCTTGGGAAAGAGAGATGGGGGCAAGGCCCAGGGCCAGGAATGTGGTGGGTTTTGAGTCTCCAGTCAAGTTGGGCAGGGGCAGGGGGGATAGCTGCCAGGTGGCACACAGTCCCTCAGGGAGCAGAGGAAGGACCTGCATGCACCATCATGCACCGTTTTCTCTGCTCAGAACTGCAAATTTACTGACAGATGTGTGAGTCCCCCCTGCATGTCGGGTACCATTCTATGTATGCAGCTGAGAAATGGAATAAAGACTGGGGGGGGTCTCTGCTTTCATACAAATTGCATTTGGGAGGGGTACAGGAAGTGGAGAGGGGTACAGGAAATGGAGAGGGAAAAAATGATCTCATATAAAACCAAAATCAAGTTCAAAAGGGTTACAGAAGAAAGGGTTAAGCCATACATAATCGATAACATTTCTATGTATTAACTAAAAACATTTACAAGGTGAAATTCTTAAGAACATAGATTTACAACATCCACATAGCCCAGAAGACTTAGGAAAAAGTGACAGAAAACGTAAGGTGTTTGTGTGGACTGCTATAAAGTCTCACAGAATAATTAGTAGAGAGCAGAAATAAGTACGAAGACACAGCGCTCCCAGACGGGGAGCTGTCGGAGGAGTCCAATTCCCCACGTACATGAACTCGAAGCACTTTAATTTTTAAAAGTTCCAGCAAAATTTTGGTTCTGGTAAAAATCTGATGTGCTAAATTAAATTTTATATGTAAAAAAAGGACTAAGAACATGCAAAATAATAAAGAGGGTAACTTTGGGAAGGGTCTCACCAGCTAGATACCAAGAGTCTTACAAAGCACAATGATCATCCTGGGACGGTGGCAGGTAAGCTTGGAATAAAAAAAGATAGTTCGGAAGCTGGCCCACGAGCTGCGTTTGCAGGTCTGAGGCCCACGAGCTGCGTCTGGAGGTCTGAGGCCCACGAGCTGCGTCTGCAGGTCTGAGGCCCATGAGCTGCGGTCTGGAGGTCTGACCCAGAGGCTTATACTGATCAGGAGGAAGACTCACTAACAGTGCTGGGACACATGGTTGCTCACCCAGAAAACCATATCCCTATCTCACACCATGAGCTTCAAAAAGTACACCCAATAAATAGTTTCCTGCTGTGCAACCATTTCCTGTATCTGTTCACAACTGCCCAGAAACACACAACACTACCTAGATGTACTACAACATTTTTAAAAATTAAGTAAATGAACAGCTTTTGAAAGAGAGTTCTCGAGTCAGTCCTAGGACACACAGAGTATGAGAGACAATATGCTTGGCTGCAGTAAAGTTAAGAACTTTGGTATAGATGGAAAACATTCAGATCCCAGGCCAAGACAAGCTGCTTGTAAAAAGGTATTTTCACTTTATTAAACTGATGAAGAATTCGAATTCTGACTTCACGGAGAATCCCTATAGATCAGTAAGTAATGGCTCAGTAAGAAATGAAGCAAAGCATAGGAACCAGCAGTTGACTAGAGGAAACCCAGCCAGCACTAAACAGACTCAATTGAGCCAGTAGCCAGAGCAACAGAAACCAAACGTCAGATACTATTCACTACTCAGCTTAATTGAATCATTTAAAAAGGGCTCCAGGACCCAGTGTTTGCCAAGATGTACACCGATAAGACACGGGATACAAAATAACTGGTGCGACTCCTTGGGAGAGGGAGTTAGGGTTGCCTTGTCACGTTCCACGTGAGCATGCTTGGGCCTAACACTTCCACGTGGAGGTGTGTGATGGGAAAGCAGATAAAACAGGATGGCTGTGCGGGTCGAAACCTGTGCAGAGGGGGAAATGAACTCACAGGAACAATTGCCTTATCACAGGTACAGCCTGTGTGAATGTCAGACAAGTGAGTTGTTGGAGATACCACACACACTGTGCATGCACAGCCACAATTTTAAGGTTGAAAAAAAGACTCCATATTGTCTATAAACATTAACTGGTGTTAGTGTCGTTCACAGTGAGGAGCAGAAATGATTTGAAGGAGTACCTGGAGCTCTCACAGCCTTCCTGTCTTGAAATTTGAAGGCAGAGACAAATACAATAGAGGGAAATTGAGAACTGGACCAATCTGCAAGGTAGACAGACCAATATCCCCTCGTTTTTAGTTTCTAATGGGTGAAATGTTTTAGAAGCATTTACAAGTCATTTAGAATGTTGTCTTATCCTGGGGTTCCCCAACCCCCAAAGGACGGAGCCTGAGGAAAGCGCTTCAAGGTTGCTGAGGCTCAGAAGACAGGAAAATGCGGAGTGGGAGAGGGTGGGAGGCAGAGTCACAGCAGGCTTCACTGGGTGAGTTATCCAGGGGGTCAGCCTGCTACAGTTGGGGCTTCAGTTTCAGGGTCCTCCTGCGACACTGCAGGAACCTTGCTTCAGGACAGAGCACCTAAGTCACAGTAGACAGGATCATTTCCCCCACCAACTCTTGCCTTAGGGCAAGCTTTCCCCCAAACGGTCAGGTCTCAGACCTCGTGTATACTGTACAGCTGGGACCCAGAGCCACCCAGTCCTGCAGCCTTGGTGAGGCATTTAAAGTGTTCCAGAAAGCAAGAGATGCTGA